GCCGAATATTCCATTTAGAACATTCACTGAGAGTCAAACATCCCATCAACCATCTGGTCTTCCATATGCTTCCCATAATTGCCCTTTCTTAATTCTTCTTTTACCTCTCAAATTGTTCTTTCAGCACATCCTCTGAGTAATCCCTAGATTCCACCACAAAGCTGGAAAGGAGATGAGATAGTGTTTCTGCCTTCTCTTCTTTTACACTACCTCTGGATAAACACTACATTTCCAATTGACAGATCTCTCTTCCAGAATTGTCACCTTTATCTAAAATCCTGTCCTGCATTCCAGACATCTCAAATGGCTAGCTATCACACAGCTAGAAGAAAGCTATTCATTTCCACATTATCTCAATTTTTTCCATTACTTGGACAAAGTTTGGACAAACAGAATCGATATACAATTTAGAAAAATTTAGCAGTAAGTGTTAACGAACCTCTAAGAGCTTCACTTTTTGTAATTGCTATAAAACAATTAAGAGAAATCAATGAAGGCATAAATTGTGATTTCCATCACTTCTCAATCTAACCTAAAAATCTTAGTCTAATCTAATCTAAAGTCTTAGTTTATTATCTAATTATCTAATATTTCTTTTAATTATCATTAGCTCTGTCATTGTTTCTGAATGGCCATTGCCCATAGTTTACTAATGAAGAGGTGACTACCTTTCCTTTTCCTGATAGATTTAAATTCTGCAAGCTTATTACACATTTATGGCATACCCATAGTGTTAGTAAGCACAATCCGTATAATATCTGAAAACCATCCAAGCAACAACGTGACTGAATTTCCTTAGCCAGCCACTGTACCTGAAAAACACAGCACCAGTGTTCCATAAATGTAATAGAATGCCATTTCACTATTTGCTACAATTCAAAGAAGTTTGGTCCATAAAACTTTATTGTTTGAAGCTAAAATAAGCAACATTCCTGTGCTACACAGAAGTTAAGAGATTATTTTAGCTGCCGGCCTCTTTTGTGTATGGTTGAGGACAATCACTTAAAGAGAGATCTCCCTTCAAATTTTGTACTCCCTCAGGACTACAGAAAACCAGAATTTGTTGATATTCATTATATATTAGGAAGATTGTCCTTTACTGAACCTTTTCTTAAAGGTAGAACATATGTAAACCATCAAGATTAGATGTACGATACAACTTTACTGTTAAGCCTTAATGTAATCCATCATGTATAAAACTACAGTTATAACAGATACTGTATAGACTAAAAGACTGGTCTTTTCTATTGGATAGATATAAAGTACATAGAATAGCACAGATTTTGTAAAAAAAAGTAAATATAGGTTTTGATGACCTGAGCTCATATATATGCTCATAATATAAACATTCAGTTCTATTAGATGTCAACCAAGAAAAAACATTAGTGGGAAATAGTAAACCACTCCTGGACAAGTTTAATTATTGATAAGAACAGATTTTATGTTCAACATTTCTTTCTCCAAATATACATCAAGTACGAGAAGGGAGCCAGAGTACTATTCTAGATATTTCAAAAGCTTGGGCCACTTCATACTGGAATTTTTTATTTTTAATTTATTTTTCCTGTGTTTTGGACTAAACCGAGGAAGAAGCCTCATATTTGAAGACCTTAAAAAGTCAAAGTGCAAATATATTAGTACCATATATTTATCCCCAGTTTAGCATTTGAAATTACTCATTAATTTAGAGAATTGGAATTTCTCTCTAAGATGGGATCTGCACGTTGATCTGCATTAGTTTGTTTATTGTACGAATATTTGGCTCATTTTAACAAGAGTTTGTATGTATACATTACCAAGGAGGAAGACAAAGACTTAAGCTAAGCCACTGTTCAAAAAAATGCTAAAGCATTATTAAAAGACAAGGCCAAGACAACATAAACCTTTTGGACATTGGAATAGTCCATAGTACAAACTTTTAGAAGTGCCAGTCTCTTGAGAAAAAAGGTGGGTGGACTCATTAGACACTTAGATACCGGATTGTTTAAGATTACTGTGAAGATGTTGCAACTTTCCAAGTATTTCTTTTGTATTTCTCTTCCTCTCTCTAGAAGCATTTCAATGCCAAAAATGGGGGATACATTCAAATCTAAAAAGGGACAGTGAGGCAGCAATTATATCAATTAGTATTTTAGGTACAAGTTAACCTTAACAGATTTTGTACATAGAAAACAAACACTGCAACAATATTCAACCTATTTCGAGATATGAGCAGACAGACATACCCTGTCTGGACTTACACAAGAAATTAGGAAATCAAGTTATCTGTCAACAGAATAACAGATTTGAGGAAAATATAAGAACAGCTTTGATGGAAAGCCTAAGCTCTCCTATGGAATAACAATGAGTATTAACAGTTAAACTACTGCATTTCCTCTTTTCAGAGAAACAACATGTGATTTTGAAGATATTTCAACTTTCATGAGAAAGTAAAAAATTACTAATAGCATTTGAGACGCATGTAAGTCAGCTTATCAGTAAGAGTGTTTCCTGACTGCATAGTGCATACTGGGATTTCAGACTTCTGAACCATGTCAGTACTATAAACCTAGAGGTAGAGACATATGTTATAGTAGCAGGACAGCATTAGAAGTAATTAGTTTCATTACGAAAAGCAAGATGATAGCTCTTTTTAAATCAACTTGGTTTAAATATGTACTTTCTGAAGCCCCAATAAAGAAAATTGTTTAATATTTCATTTCAGACAGAATAATGCAATTTCTAACAAGATATACTTTTCATGGGTAATATCAGAAATTAAATTTAAATTATTCCTTAAAACTAATGATTGAATTGAACAATTCGGTATGTTTTTTCCACCATTGCTTTCCCCTTTGAGCCTAGTATTTTATTTTTTTTTTAATCTTAATACAAATATCAGATGCGAACACTTCATATCACCAACAGTCTTTTACAGATTTTTTTTCTTTTACTGTCTTTATTCACATCTTATGAACTACAAGCTACAAATTTTAAACAGATTTTTTAGACACACTCATTCATAGCAAGAAAGTGACTTAAACATATCCTACAATCAGTAACATGAAATAAAGTATTAAAACCAGTCCAATTTCAACAATTATTTCAGTAGCATATTTCAACAAATACACTGAATATTGAAACACATTTCAATAGGGATTTATATTCAATGACTGCATCTTTCAGCATTTTAATTATGCACTCAGTTGCAGTCTTGTAATTTAACAAATCCACTCATGGCATTTCAAAGCAATAAAGTTATGGGCTGAAACTTACATTAACCAAGCCAAAATAGTGCTCATTGACTGGAAATTGTTCCGGACCAATCTCTTTCTCCAAAGCTGAGGCATTGGCGCCCTAGAAAAATCAAAAGCAGTAAAGTATTAATGTTGCAACTACATACACAGTGAATTTAACTATTTGAGAAAAAGAAGTAAAGTTTTTTGGCAAGGATAAATGACTTGTCACTGAAAACTCTAAAATTAGTAACTACAGCCATGGGTGGCAGCTCACACACATCACAGGCATCTAAAACACAGTCACAACTGTAAGTCTGGGCACAGCAGACATCTGGGGCAAAGAGCTGTTGTTCAAGAGTCAGCTATGTTTTGCATCATTTGTACTGAGATATAGTAATACTGATTCTTAAATTTGCATACTGTCCAGTTAGCTCAGTTAAATATTTTTAGCCCCAAACACACACTTGTTGATTGATTTTGATTTACCTACAAGAAAAAACCATAAACAAACAAAAAAATACCAACAAACCAAAACCAACCAACAAAACCCTGGTCACAACTACAGACCTTGCCAACACCAAGCCAGTATTGTCAGATCTCAGACCATAAGACTTCAAGTTTACTACACTTACTTACACTGAAGCTCTCTCTAGTCAGGAGGGAGAAGAACAAAAATAAATGACACTAAATATCAAAACCAGATGAAACACTTTCCTGTCTTTACCGGGGTGGAGGGGGTGGGGGGGGGAGCGGGGGGAGGGGGAGAAAGTGGAGTTTGTGACCCAGCTCAACAATCCGACATGGCAAATCAACCAAACTTGTTTAGTCAGTCTATTGCTTAATGCAAAGACAAGCTTGTAGGCAGGATAATACTAGCCATGAATGCAGAAAAATCAGTCCTTTGAGTTCTCTGTTGATTTGCACTCTCAGGATGTTTAGATTGCCCACAAAACCATTTCACACAGGTCTTGGAGCAGGCAGCACGTCTTCTGTGCCATAACTTAATACTTACATACCTATAAAAAAAAGAACCTAACACTCTTCTACCACCAGAAAATTATTCCAACATAATCCAAAATACCTTAGAGATATGTTTCCAAATATGTTCTGTTCAAAATCATCTCAAAGTAAGTTATATCATTTTCATGTGTTCTCATGCAATTACACTGTTTTGATGTGCTGTATTTATTATTTTCCAAATGGATCTTCTTTAATAACAATTGCATTGATATAGTATTGCAAAGTAGGACAAATGGTGAGCTCCTCTTAACAAGTGTAATGCTCATATTGTATAGCACATTTCAGAAAAAGTTAAGAAATGCAGATTGTTCACAGGAAGCAAAGAGACTGGTCTGTCTTTCTTACACTGAAAATATAAAATGTTCAAAGTGCTTTGTTAAATACCTTGAAGTGTGTAATACTAAAAGACAGCACAGTACAGCTAGAGTTGCTGTACATTACAAATGCTGCAGCCTTTGCCCAACAAATCTGTTGGGTCTCATCCTCAAAAAGAAGTCAGAGAACGTAACTTTGGTTACTCTGTGGTTCCAGCCCATGACTGTTGACTGAACTGGTGCAATAAATACCAGGTTTCAAAGGAAAGAGAGGTTCTTTATTTAGAGACAGAAAAACCTCTACTCTGGAAAATCCAGGGAACAAAACCCCCTAGCTTTCTATGAGCTCTTACACTGATTGTTTTTAGAGAAAAGCAAACATACCCAACCTTAAACCCCTTTTGTTCCATACACCACTACTGATACACGTATATCTTCTATCAAACTAATACATGAGCATAAATATTCCAGTCTAAAGTCAGGCCTAACTGAAGCTTAAATAGCACATAGTATACAGCAAAGAATCTTAAAAACAGATGTGACTCCTTCCCAAGAAGTTCTTTCTTTACACCAAATAGCCCTGGACATTCCAACAATAAAATTAAATCAAAATCACAAACCGCATTAAAAACAGCACCTGGGATTTCACAGATTAATTACAGATAGGGGGAAGGAGGACAGAATTAAAATTAGGACTGTATCAAAATAGTTAAAGTTAAAATGAAACTCTATTATGTGGTATCTGCCATGACGCGATTGTGGTACTGCAGAACTTAAGCGCGATTACTCAATGTAGTTTAATAGTTCTGAAACTGGAAACACATGGTCAAAGGCCCATTAGGAGGTAACAACTTTGACTAGAGCAAAAGATACCGTAACTCCACGCTTGAGACGGTACAGCTCTGCTCCATTCACAACATGGCCCCAGCTACTTTTTCATCAGTCATATCTCCTGCAATTATCCAGTATGATAAAGCCTCTCCTTTACTGGGGCTTACTACTTTAGAAGGTGTTCTCAAATGGTGATGTTGGTGGTAAGCAAAAGGGGTATAAAGCTTCATTTAAGATTAAAGCACTCCATGACTTCTGAATATTTAGTTTTGCAGCCTTATTGAAAAACACCCATGAGCTCTGGTAAGGTGGATATTATTTACAAATATACTGAAAAAAGAAAAAAAAAAAAGAAAAAAAAAAGGAACTGTGGAAGCCTTTTTATCCTATTGTTAAAATCTCTACTTCTTTAAAAATAAATAAATTCAAGAGCAGGCTTTTAGGAAATTCCTTCTCTTTTCGAAGCTAGGGTGGAGTAGCTGCTTTATTCTATCTTTGGAAGAAAGAATATTATGGTACAAACTTTGACGTTTCTGTTTTGTACAGACTTGAACACTGTATTTAGTTTTCTAGCACAATAAGATCCTGACTTGGCAATAAGACAGACATGCTAAGATACTCCAATATTGTTACGGTTTTCTGATTATTCAAGGCTTAGACTTTCACATGATTTCAAAGCAGGGCATTATTTAGGTTTGAATGCCGTTGTTTATGAATGTTTTATTACTACAAACCAGCATGGATGTTCTACACCAATATAAAAAACCTCAAGCTACTTAGACTTCCCTCTACAGCTCTCTTTTTGGCTGTCATAAAGGGTGTTATTCCTCTCCCCAAAGTAATCATTTATACTGTGCACAGTGTGTTGGTTGCAAAGAGCAAAAACACAGTATGCAGCAGGGGCTTGAAAGAATATGCGAAAATGCATGTTCGCATCTGACCCGTAAAAGCTATTTTAAAACCTAACTATCCCTCACTACAAAATGTTTCCCATTCGGCATTAAAGTACACATTATCAGTCCCAGTTGACTCTACAATTATGCAAATACAGATGCAGAGAGGAAATACTGTGACACCTCCAACTATCATGGTACCATATGGTCTTCTGGACAAGACAGCACAGGCTTAAGGCAGAAGTGGAGCCTATCTCTTTCCATCAGCCAAGACGGACTTAATGGGCTTGGGATCTAGACTTGGGAGATTTCAGTCTGTGATGTATGCTGCAGGGTATAGAATTTCTTCCTCTGCTACTTAACTGGGATGTGGGAAGATCCCAAAATGAACCTCTCTTTTTTGGGGCTCTCTGAACAGCCCATACAGTAGGTGCTCAGTCCCCACACAGCAACGTGGCTTTGACATTGTGCAGGGAACAGAAAGGTACATCAAAAACTTTGGTCAGTATACCGACCTCCAGTTTCCCTACCCTTCTGAGCGGAAGAGCACAAGGTCGTTACCCAGAAATGGGAAGGAACAAAGGCACAACAGAAGTACAAAAAAGCTAGTATCGCTATAAAGCTAATACTGGCATTTACCAGTTTTTGCATTACTTTAGTATAAAACCTATACATCACCAAACACTGCCTTACATTACCCCCTCTTCCAGCACAGAGAAAACTATACAGGCATACAGAACACATAGACAAACATGTCATAGTTAATGCAATATAGCTTTATAAAGTGGAAAGTTCAGTAACTAAGGTGTGTATACAAGAACACACTAAGAAATCAAGATTTGTTTCACTTTTATTTATTGAAAAATGATCCTGGAAACAAAGTTAAAATATCAGTGATCATAAAAGACTGTTCTCATATATAATAAAAGTTAGGTGTGATACACTTAATCCTATGTTTAACTTCAAACTGATACAAGATAAATCATAAGTAATCTTAGTTTAACCATGTTCAAATCAGTTGAACATTTATTGCTTATCTCCCCTACCAAGTTAAAGAAAAAAGGCTATATTATTGGATTTATCAAAGATCTCCTTAGATGCTAATTTCTTAATAAAGAATTCATGTTTACCATGGAAGGTCTTTAATTAAGTTTCTCAAATTTTGTTTTTAAAAGAGCTCAAGGTTTCTATAAATTAACACATTTAACATTAACCAAATGAGTGTTTTATTTCAGTTTACTGGAATCAAAGCCCAGAAAACCCAGTGGGAAAGGAACGTGTAGTATCTTTTAATTAAGTACAGTTGAATTTTCCTGATTTTTAAGTTTTACAGATACACATTCTCTCAAAGTTCTAAAATAAACTTGACATTGTACATTTCAATGGAAAAGGGAAAAAAAAAATAAAGTCCAGACTCATGATCAGGTTTTTTGCTTGTTTGTTTAGTTTTTCACTTGCTAAAGCAATATTGTTAAATGCCATTTCGCTTTTATTATTGCCTTTTCTCACTGCCTCAGAGGTCACACTATGGTGGTGCTACACATCAGACTAGTACTCCTGAGACACACTAGCAGCTAACATATAGATAAACTAATTGGAGCCCATCTGTAAAGCTGTTGGTGCTTATGATCTGACATACACACTTTGGGTTTCAGAGGGTTTTTGCCAGATTAGTTCTAGGCTGGCTTTGTGACTGAACACCCAGCTGCAGCTGAACTATGTTGCCTGATTTAGTTTTCTCCAAAAGGAATCTAATTTATGTGCTCTAAGACCACTCCAAGATGCAAACCAAAGTATGGTAAATTGGGATGCCTGGGAGAATCACTTCAGAATTGCACACACCTTACCTGAACTAAAACACTAACAAAAATGCACCCAGCACTTGCCTAAAGAAAAAATAAAGAGCCACTCTATATTCAAAATACTGTCTAAAAATATGTCAGCAAGCAGGCAAACAATTGCAGTTTTAAAGTGTCCTACCTTGTTGTTATCATCCAACCTAGTAGCTAGCATTTCTGTTACAAAGACTTGATTCATAAACAGCCTAATGTGCTTTGAAGATTACACTGGTGCTAGTCTTACCAGGGTGGGGCAGGGGGGGTTGATCTATCCCTTTCTAGAATAAATATCAGTTGATAACTTGGTGGGTCATCTTTTCAGTAGCTTGCTGTAACACCTTTATCCTCTAGCTTTATTGGGTTGTAAATTTCCTGAGTAAAACCAAAGTTTTCACATTTAAAAGTAATTTCTTAACTCAAAACTTACATTTGTTGTCAAAATTCCAAAGATCCATTTCTCCCTTGACACAGGTACTACGCTAGATCCTTCCCTACAATGTTCTCTACCTCCCTCAAGAAGCAAGGAACAATAAAGATAAAAGGTGACTGACAGAACTGAACCATGTTGCATAGGTACGTGTAAGCCTAATTTTTTAAACATGACCTTAGTTACAGGTAAGTGAACAACACCACCACCACCCCCCACAAAACACAACTTTTATTCTTCCTGGGGACAGAAAGGCATTACAAGTAAAAGGGAAACTCAGTAACCAGGGATAGCAATGTTTTCCTGAATAAGAATAAAACACCACAAGTGTAAAATTAATTTAATTATTTATAATTAGCAAAAATAAATGTTGGTATAGAAACACGCATTTACTAGTGCTTTCACTTTTTTTTTTTGCCATGTATTAGAAGATTCTTCTTTGTCTGTGACACTAGTGAAGGTATACAGAATGTCATAGCCTACACTAATTAATGCAGTGACTGATAGAATCTTCTGTTAAAAAAGAAATACATAAGTCTATTCTTCCAGTTATATTTTATCAGAATACGCGAATTCATACTTTTCTATGTATTTATATGAATCAGGATTAAGAGTAAACAGAATAGCTATATTAAATCAGCTTATATCTGTTGTTTCAACCACTAACCAGAATGGAAATGCATTTATTTTGATACTGTTTCTAGTCCAGGAAGCAGACGTGAAATATGCTGAGTGGGATTCAATAATCCTTGTTGTTCATTTATTTGCAAAAGAACATGCATTAGTAATACACAACTTGATAATCCAACTATGAAATATTTGGATTGTTTCAGTTCGTATTTTTTGAATACTTACAAATAGTGTTATTTTCTTAACTAATTAGTTTAAGACATGGTCCTGTACATTCCAATCATGTGCAGCTAAGACAATAGGTTTTTTTATTGAGTACAAAGCAAAAACATCTCTGCCTGGGCAAGGAGAATGATAGCATAGCACTAAATTACCTTCTCTTCACATTTGGTATGTCTACCACACCCATTTTTTTGAGCCCCACTGAGCATACACAACATATTTTCCTCCACATCAACTAGATAATAGTCATACTTCCATCTGTTTTGAATACTAAAGTCAAAGATAAGTTACTCTCACATACGAAGCTGAAACTTGGAGAATTGGGGCTCTGGGCTTGGCTCTTTTGTGGAATGGATCTTCAAAACATAAAAAAATATAATGATGCTTCTACAGTTCTTCCCCAATTGCTGCCAGACTTGAAATAGACTTCACCTACTACCCACTCAATACAGAATGAAATCATATTGCTAAAAACTAAAATACTGCAAACAACGTAAGTTGTATTTGTACTGTAAAATTCCAGAAAATTCCTGGGGTAACACTGTTTATGATATCAGGTGCCTTTGCTTCAGTTTCCTACAATCAGATGAATTTTCAACACATCTCATAATGGCACTTATTAAGTGGGGTCCCAAAAGATCAAAACTACTACCTTCAAAGACTTTTATTTAAAGGTTGAATTACACTAGCAGACAAGACAGGATGTCTGTGATATGTATTTAAAAGAGGATCTGATGGTGACCTTAGAAATCTTTCACTGCCTAAAACGTACAGTTATATACATTATATTAATCTTTTAGAAAAATCAGACCTACCTAATCACCCAAAATGCAGAGGAGGAGAAAAAAAAGAACGCATTTGCTCAACAATTTTGTTGATAAACTGCACACTGTCGTGTATTTCACATGCTTTTTTAACCCACATAATTCCTGTTTTGTAAAACAAAGTATGTTGCTTTTATACTTTCCCATTTTCATGGAATTATAAAAAGAATTTGAGTTTATGAAAAACGGTAAAAATGCTTTCCAGTTCTGGTCTACTTATGTTAATACACCATTCTGGTTCTACACTACAAAAAGATCTAGATTTTTTTTTCCGTCACAACTGAAAGATCAGATAGACCTTATTGAAATAAGTAATCTGTTAAAAGCATTTAACTTCAGCAAACTTCCTAAGCTAGGAAAACAAAAGTTACTCCCTATACAGAGCTTTTATGCACCTCTTTCCTTCAACAAATTTGAAAGAGAAAAGTAGACAATATCAATTAATGGACAGACATCCTTTTACCACATTTTTACAGAATCATTCCTAGAAATTTTAATGCAAATTAGTTGTTTCAGTAGTTTACAAAGTAAATACGAAGACTACATAAATGAACCATCTAAATATTCAAGCTTTTCTAGTAATAGGATCAGTTATTCCCACTGCCACAGCTAAAAATTCTGTCCACAAGACTACAGTCCAAGTTTGTATTTCATTGTTCCTTCGTGCTTAGAACTTGAAAAATGAATATATGTAAACATGCAGGGAAAAAGAAAATGGAACATTTACATAATTGTGTCATGGTTTGGGACGGATTGGCCACTCAGGTGGAACGACAGATGCTCTCCCCTACTTCTCTTCAAAGAAAGGCAAGGGAGAGAGGCGAGTTTAGAAGGAACTAAACTACTTTAGTGAAATATTAATAATAAAATAAAAAGGAAATAATGCAAAGTATACAAAACCATATCACGCTCCCAGGATGACAAGCTTGTCACCAGCTGGCACTGGGAATGTCCCAGACTGGACTCAGTGATGGACCAGAACTGGATTCCATATCTGCATTCAGGATCGGGACCAAAGGCAGACGAACAGACAGAGCCCTCCTCAGACAAAGCCACTGAAGAAAGAGAGTTGGCCATTTGATTCCTCAGCTTTTATACCGAGCATGATGGAGATGGGGTGGAATACACTGTCGGTCAGTTTTGGGCCACCTGTCCTGTCCGCTCCTCCCTGCAGGTGGGACCCCTTTACGCTTTTCCGCTTCTGACCCTCCAGCAGGGCCAATAACCAAGTTAGCTGCCCTTGGGTGTTATAGCAATAAGTAGAAGCAAGAACCCCTCTGCATATCATCCCTTGGCATCAACTATAAACATAGGGTTTATCAATCTGGAGAGCAAACAGTTTGTGCACAATATGCTGTTAATTTCAGTAGTTAGAAGAGGCCTAGCTAAAAAGTAAAGTTACTGAACAAAATTGGTCCTGTTTTACCTCAAACCAGGACAAATTGATATTATCCAACTAAGTTATATGCCAACTAAGTAATTCTCTGTGCTGGTATAAATACTGCTTAACAGCTACACAACTTCAGGAGTTTTTTTTCCTTCATGTCTCATATTTGACATTTGTTTTATATTAATTCAGAGTCAAATTCATATTTTGATGTAAATTTAAAACAAATTTGTCTAAATTAATTAGTATACTAAACAGTGTCACAAACCTAGTATTTTAAAGAGCAAATGTACAGACTCATCTTTTATTACCATATTGCAGCATGTTAATCTACAAAAATTATGACAAATGCCACAATCATGCCCGAGTCCTAGTGTCGTATTTATCATGAAATATTCTGCTGATAAGAACTCCAACAGATGAGTGAACCTCCCTACTGTGGTTTAAGCTCTTACCCCAACTGTCTAACACGTACTTCTCCAAAATTTCATGTGCTTGCAACAGAATCACCACAACAGAACACGTGCCCGAACACTCCAGTCCACTGATCAAGGCAGATTCAGGTCAGGATGCCAGAGTGAAATGCAGTGGCTGAGACACAGCACATGTTCCTTCTTGCCAGCCCTGCTACATAAGCAAGTCAGACAGCTGTATAAAGGAATACCATAACACTGCTATTTCCTCTCTGTCTTAGTCTTCTCCTCCTCTGCTTTCTTTTCTATTACCTCCTCACTTTGAAGCTATCTTTTTCCACAACTTTTCTTTCCTTGCTGTAACTCTCAATTCTCACTTCTTCCAGCATGAGTCGTCTGTACACTTTCCTGTGGAATCTGTTAACCCGATCAATTAATATTTAAGTATTATAATTTGTGTTTCAGGGGAGACAGTGCAATTAGAAGGAACAGAAGTGAGTAAATCATAGCCGTTTCTGGCTGACTGCAAACTCTGGCAAACATCAATTTACATTAAGTGCAGATTTCATAATCAGGTTTGAAAACACAATT